TTTCTTCACAGAAGCTGGGTAGCTGAGGAAGCCGTGTGTGTGTTGGCAGGGGCCTTGCCAAGTCCAGCACCTACAGAAGCTGCGGTGGCTCTGTCTGGGGGAGGAGCATCCCCGCAGCAGGCAGGTGAGCTGGATGGCAGCACTGTGCAGAAGTGCCTGCAGACAAAGTGCTGCCCTGCTCAGGTTGATAAGGAAGTTTTTCTTGGAAAAAGGTGGTTTCCAGTTCTGTTACTAGGTTAGGTACTTCCTTTTACTGGCACGAGTAGCTAGGCAGGAGATTTGCATGCTGAAAGCCAAGAAGCCACCACCAGCTCATCTTCACCCGTGAGCTGGATGGCAGCACTGTGCAGAAGTGCCTGCAGACAAAGTGCTGCCCTGCTCAGGTTGATAAGGAAGTTTTTCTTGGAAAAAGGTGGTTTCCAGTTCTGTTACTAGGTTAGGTACTTCCTTTTACTGGCACGAGTAGCTAGGCAGGAGATTTGCATGCTGAAAGCCAAGAAGCCACCACCAGCTCATCTTCACCCTCTTGGTAAAGAAGAAAGTACTGGCACATCAGTGGCCAGGTTAACACCCCACCAGAGGATTGATTCCAGTCATTTGGCTGCAACTCATGATTACCCAGACAAGCTGACCAATGTGTAACATTTATCTCCCAGTACTGGATGGAAAAAAATGGCATCTTTAATTACTAATTTTTTTTAGAGGACAGCTATTTCTCTCACACTATGAATTACCAAACTATTCTGAGCAGATTTGTACCATACATGCAAATCTAAACCAGTTGTAAAAATACTTTAGCTTGGGCTTTTATTTTTTTCAGCATACTCCCAGTTTTCAGCTTCATACATGTCTGTCTTCTGGTGTGCTGAGACTGTAATAGACGGGACTACCTGTGCTCTTCAGGATCTGCTGCCACAAAGTTCAGAACTTAGATGGGGCACACAATGCCATCAGAACGGAAAACCATTTAATTCTTTTTGTGTCACACAGCTGCTGGCTGTGCAGTCACAATTATGTTGAAGGAACATAGTTCTTGAGTCCTGTTGGCACCCAGATTCATCAAGTGAACCTGGACACCAGCGCATCACCGAGGAGCTGATGTACACAGAAGCTGCTCTGGAGAAGCCCAGAGAAAGCTGGGCACTCCCGTTTTTCACTATCGCTTGAACTCCAACAATTTACAGAGCAACTTACACTTACAAAATACAGCCAGGCCGCATCTGTATTGGTTGAAGTGGAAAAAGAGGGGGGGGAAAAAAAAAAAGCAAACACCCAAACCCAACAACACCAACTGAACAATCTTGGCAGCTGGACTTTCTCGCAGGTCTCTGGCCTGGATTCCCACAAATTTTCTAAGGGTTTCTTTGCTGTCTTGCTTGTCCATCACACCTGCTTTGTCTGGTTGCCTTCAGTGTTTCATTCACTTATTCCCACAGTAAGCATCTGCTCTCCCCTTCCCTCGCCAGCTACATTTCAGTGCAGTAAGCTGCAAGATGAGGTTCTATGAGAAATAAACCCAGTGCTGTCCCTGCTTATTTCACTTTGCAGGTCTGAGTTTGCTAAACGCAACACATATTTCTTCTTTTGAAGGAAGGAATAGACAAGTATTTTAACAAACTCAAATCCATTTGGGGAAGTTGTAGGAAACTCTACTATTAGAGGTGCCGTTTAATTCTCAAGGCAGTAAAAAGGACTGAGAGGCCAACTCACCTCTGAATGTCTTTCATGTTGTTTTGTTACACAGTGTGGTCTTGTTTTACAAGTGCTCTGTTTACAAAAATGCTGGGGGGAGAGGGGAGGGAGAATGTTCATTTAAGTCTCACATTCACATAGGGCTACTTTTGTAAAGGTCTGATCCAGTCCTACCAGCTGCTTGCCCACAAAACTTTGCAATTGTGGAGGCTAATTAAGATTCTTCAGAGGAGCTCTGCTCTCCCCAGCAGTTGCAGAAGGCCTCATTAGACATGCTGTACCTCCCCCCAGCCCAGCAGAATGCCCCACTGTGCCTGGCTTACATTATGCCTTATGAATTAACCAATTGATTCTGAAAATATCATTACATTTGGGCTAGATAAAGCTGTTCCCTTTAAGAAGAATATGTCAAGGTTCCACATCTGCATAAACTGATAGAGTATTACCTGCAAACTCCATTCTCCCTTGTGCTGCGAGTTGGGGATTCGCTTGCCAGGATACAATGGGCTCAGTACAAAGGGAACATCTTGTGGCTTTCTGGGAAGACTGGGAGGAAAGTCAGCCTGGGCAGTAAGAGTGACCTATCCACTTGCATGCAGGAAGCTTTACTTACATACAACTCTGATTATAAAATAAAACTAATTTACATGAAATGACTGAATTTGCCTTGTCTTTTTTGTGTCTCCTCCTCTCTCCAGCTTTAAAGTGCAGAACCCCCTAACTGGTATAGCTCAAGTGCATCTAAGAGCTGCTTGTTACTAATGCTGTGTAGCTGAACTACAGAGAACAAGACTTCAGCTGACACCAGTACATACTACTGGACCTCCAGTATCCTTGAGTGCTTATAGCTGCAAAAGTTTATATTTGGTCTTTAAATTGGTTTTAAGCCAGAACCCAATCTGACCTAAAGCCAAATCAGAGGAATATATAAATTTAATTATATTTAATCTAATACAAACAGCTTTCCCCCTACTGCATTTGTGCAAAAATCTTGGGTTTGGTTTCTTAAAAGAAAGCTAACTGGAGAAACAAGACAAAGTATTTCAAAGTAGTGAAGAAACCTGATGTGCTGACAAACAGTCTCAAGTTGGTTATGACAAGCTTGGAAAGCCTTCTCTTCCTCAATGTTTTGATTATTTACACATAACTCTTCCAATTAAAAAGAATTCTCCCCTCTCCCCAAAATGAAAACATTAAAACATCTGGAAACTTCACTGCACAAAACCATACTTTTTATTGTAATAACAAAATGCTTTATTTGGGGGAATACAAGGAAAACTGTGACATCCTCATTATCAAACTGTTTTAAAAAGGCATTCTTTCTTTGAAAGACATAACAATCATACAGAAAAAAAGTGACCTGTGGGTAAGCCCTCTCATTTAGCAGTAGGAATTCTTTTTTATTTTCCAGCTGAAAAATCCAGCTGAAATCCAGTTGGGATTTGAATGATCTGCATGGGCACAGCACAAGTTGGTTGAGATTTTCTCGTATCTTGGGGCACACCTGCCACTCGGCACTGCTCCAGTTCGACAGCACAACACAGAGATGGAGCTTTCACAATTCTCACCCAGGTCGCTTTGCAACAAACCACAAGACTTCACCATTACCACAAGAAGACAGTGAGAAAGCCACAAGGTAACTCATCTTCTCTTATCTCCAAAGACTTTTCATGCAAGCCCTATGCTCATGAAACTCTTGTACCATTTATCTGATTACACCTCAGTACCTCACCAGACATCCTCTTTGCTGTAAGCCAGAACAGTGTTGTGAAACGTATACAACAGATTAAAAGACAATACACAATTATTTCCCCACTCTGTCTGCTTTCCATACAGCAGGTTTCGAGTAAGATGGGATGCTTTAAAGAACACAGAGGTATACCCCTAAATTACTTCTGCCCTCTCTGAACCTTATGTTAGAATTTAAGTTGTTAAAGAAAGGGACTGGGAAGTTCCTAAAGTTGTCAGGTTATGAAGTAAGAATTCATCTTTTAATCCAGCATGACAACTCTTTGCCACAAGTAGTACTCATGCTAAGCAGTAAGACACAGTCTTATTGTTTAAAGGGGGTTCAAGTTGTCTGAAGTGTCAATGGCAAACTCTAAAAGAACTAACAGTTTTTTTTATTCAGGTTAGACATAACAAGTATGTCAGATACAACAGTTAGTCTAGAAAAATACATTTAAAAAATCTTCAGCAGATCATGCTCCCTGTAACAAAATCTTTCAAAACCAATTTTACAAATTATTCTACATTAATGTAAAAAGAAAATCTTAAATTTAGCATCATGGATTCTATTAAACATCTATTTATCAAAACACGAGTTCACTATTTGTAGATGTTAGAATTCACAATGCATCTTTCTAATGTAACCTGTACATATTAAATAACCTAAAAGGCTCTTCTTGTAGTGCATTAACAATTTAGCAAGCACACTCAGTATTTCTCCAGTACCATTTGCATTACAGTTATTTGCCTGCAAATGTAATTAACATCTAAAAGTGCACACAGTTAGGCCCCCCCTCCCTTCCCGTAACCTGTTTCCCTGCTGAAACCCAGAGATCCACTGGAAACATTACGCTACTGTAGCTAACCTGTCCATGATTAGAAATGTGTGGCTGAAGTGTTCTTAAACTATACAGAGACTGAATTATATACAGGAATCAAAAAGACAGCTTGTATTTACATCAAGAAACTTCCACTACCACAGCATAATACCAAGAACTCAATACAATGTTAAAGTTCGTGTTTACGTAGGATTTTAGCTTTAAATCAGTATACACAAAACTTAGCTCAGGAAATATCCTGAAAAAAATGAACATGTTTATTAAATATGACTTCTATTATACCACAAGACAAATATCCATTGCTGGATATTCTTACACATTCAGTGTTTGAAAACAGTGTGCTGTTCTATAAAGCAACTAAGAAGTTCCAGAAAGGTTGGGGAAGAGCCCGGAGGCAGAGAGGAAGATGGGGGGGGGGGGGGGGGCGACGACGGAACGGACAGAGGGGGAGATGGGGGGGGGGGGGGGCGAAGGACAGCATGTGTCAAGTGAGGAATCAGACTTGAATAACTAAACCAAACTGTTAGCACAAGTTTAAGACAGTCACTGCATGCAGAAATCCCTTGAAAAAGTGTCATAAAGATCTGAGTAGGCTGTGATACATAAGGTTAAGATGTAGCTTCACTGAGATTTTCCATACCAGTTGGTAGGTCATTTGCCTATCAAGTGGAAGAATTTTAAGATTAAATTCCAGATTATCCAGTTTGAGATTAATAGCTTTACTCTCCAAGAAATCCAGTGTATGAACCTATATTACATTTTCCCAATGCTACTTTAAAGAAGGCAAGCCATAAACTTTTCAATTCACTTTTTACATTAAACTTTCTAAGAAATCCAAAGTGTTGTATCTGATTCAGATTAAAGTGGTCAAATGTTTCTCCTGTTTCTCCCCTTCCCAAAAGTGCAAAAAACAAGTTGCTGCTTGGTCCACAAACATAATACATCATGTACAGCGAGAGATTTTCCTTCTGATGGAGTACTGCTGCCAATACATCACTTCCAGTTTCTACTCCAAGAAAAATGTCAACGTCCAAAGATAGAATTCAGTTCCAGTAGAATTAATTCTACAATCTGGTTCTGGTATACTGTGTGAACTGCTATGTTCCCAGTCTCTTTCTCTGGTTTTAACAGGGTTGGACCAAAAACTATTGCTACACTTTGATAGGTCATTCTGTTCTTTTCTCCATTTTCTACAACTCTGAAAGAGAAAAAAAAAAATACACAAAGAGACTTATCAGTGTTAAGACTAATACACAATGACAGTAGGAAGACACAGTCCAAAGCAAACAATTACTTGTAATATTTATTTAACAAGTAATCTTGTTATTAAGACATACAGCTGCTGTGGTTCCACTCTACAGAAAAGTTTTCTTTTGAAATGCTACTCCTGATCCTCTCACAATTGCTCAAGCATAAGGACTTGGCAGTAAACATCACCACTATAACACATACTGTATAAAGTCTGTTTGGTGCTCTGCAAGCTTGTATAAATACAGACTGATACACTGTTTTCATCAAGTCCAATATAAGCAAGAAAAATGCAGTGGGAAGTCACCTACTACTTCTAATTGAATTATTCAGCTTTAAGGGAGGATCAGCAATACAAAGTCTTTCCTTCTATATGCTACTTACCTCTTCAGGTGTCTAAAGAGTACCTGCATGGTGTCCTGATTTGGTTTTGGCAACTGTTTGATTAAATCTTTAACAGCATGGACACGCTGCCTTGGTTCTTGTTCTGCAAAAGGAGGTGGTGTAGGAACAAAAATTCAGTATTTTTCTTTAAAATTTTAAAACTTTGGCATAAAATTTAGCAGACTGGGAACCGTAGAGAAGGTTCCGCAGTGCTGCTCTGAGGTAGCTTACTGCCACCTCCTGGGCCTTGCCTTACTGACAGGCTACTTCAGGCAAGCCTCACTGACAGTCGTGAGCAGACCAGCCTTTTTACTGTCCAAAGTAATTAAATGAGTTGTACGTATCAAGCAGAACTTGGACAAAAGGTACGCACATGTTTTCCAGACTTACTAATTGCATTGACAAAGTCATTGAAGTGATTATAAGTGAACAGCGGCTCTGGCAATTCTCTGAAAAACATCTTCAGAGCTCCTGTGATGACATGTATATCTTCCCATTTACTGTCATTCAAGTCTAGTTTCTCATCTGAGAGAGAAAAACGAACAACTAATGTTAATAATTTAACTCTAAAAGTTGTTATTTTTTTAATAAACTGAACTACTCTTCTCTCTTTAGTGCTTTTAAAGCAGTGAAGCCCATTCTCTGACGGGACACAGAGCTTCAGCAGTGTAAAAGGGGACACAAATACTAACCACTACAGACAGAGATGGCCAAAATCTGCCTATGGCACTACATGCAGCTCCCCTACACCAAGGGCACTGTCCAGAGGTGAGCAGCAGCTGCTGACATAACACAATGTCCTGTTAGACCTTGTAAGCCAGGAAATGAGAGGTCAGACTATAGAGGGGCTGCTCTCCGCGTCCTCATTGCAAGCTGCCTATGGATTCCCACTAAACAAAAGGCTGAGACAGAGGCACATGGAAGGGTTTCATCCACCGAGTATGGCAAAAAGGAACCAAGCACCTCCATGCTAAAAGGCAGTAGTAGATATTACTAAAAAGCATTCATTTACAATTTCAGTACTAGGAGAAGGTTAATATCCTTACTGGTTTTCCATAAGGGATGGAGTTATTTTATTTGAAATTAATATTGGGGTGGGAGTGATGTTTTATTATTGCCTTTTTTTAGAATTATGTTCTAGCAATGCTTCTGTGTTCCACACAAGGCCAAACCTCCAGGACGGTAGGCTTTTCAACTTATGTATATTACACATTGAATTCTGCAACTTTGAAGTAATTTTTCTTTCAAGATGACAATCATTTCTCATGAAAGACTGCAGTTATACATTAGGAATTTTTTTTTCCCTTGAGCTTTCTAAACTTCAACAATCTGAAAAAAATACACAATTGTAATACAGAAGAAGGAAGCTTACCATGATTGACTGCAAATCTTAGCTTCTGTATCACTGCAAGATTGCCACTAACTCGGTATAAGCCATCCACATCCAATCCTAAAACAAAGATATAAATCCATTTTAATACCTTACATGTGTATGAATTCCACAATAATTAGACTGCTGCTTTATAGGTCTACTCAGCAAAATTAAAAGCCAAAAGAAACCAACCTTGTAGCAAAGAAAACTTTGTTTAAAAAACAAAACCAAAAACCCCCAAACACACACACACAAAAAAAAAAAAAAAAAAAAAACCAAAACACAAACCCAAAACCAAACAAAAATTACCTTAAACTAGATTTTTTTATAGGCAAGGCATATCAGAGGAAGTTTAGTTCGCTGACACAGATTCAGCACCATCAAGCTCAAAGTAATCTCCAAAACCTCCGACCCAGTAGAAGAGCAGTAACGAGGCATGAACTCCGAGCTCCCCCCATGAGGCCAGGAGCTTCTTTTAAGATGCTCTTGGTAGGTGGGCAGGGAGTGTATGGGAGCCCAACATGCAAGAACCAATTATTTTGTGGACATTCAATTTTTTTAAATGTATGGTTAAGAAAAATCAAATCAAGCAGTGCATAAAGAACATCTCAAAGTTGTCAAGTGACTGGGTTTTCATGGAGAAGAGATGATGTGCATGCACGTTCACCCCTACCCAGCAGCCCACAGAACTAAAACAGGTAGCCCTTGCCTTTACTGTATTGCACACTCAACAAGAAAAAGAAAACTGCATCTCTGTAGTTGTACTGCAGTTACTCAGAAGTGATTAAACTAATTTAATTGAAACATCACTTGGATGCAGCATGTGAGTCAGTGCCACTGGGAGGGTAAGTGTTGCCAGAATACCTGCAAGTCCCTGTAGCTCCTCAGATTGTCTGATGCAACACAGCACAGTTACCAGCAGCATCTGACACATCCCTTTTCCCCATAATCCACTAGTCATTCCTTTACAGAAAGAACTGATTTGAAGTGTATTGGCAGTAGGAAGAAGAGTTGGAGAAGTGGGGAAAAAAAGCTGTTCATTTCTGTCAGCTTCCCCTCAGGTATTTAAAAAAGGAAAACTTCACCCACTATCTTCACTGAAGTCCTGTCTTTAAATAAAAAAGAAATAGGGAAGGAAGGAAAAAAAAAAAAAAAAACAAAAAAAACACACACAACACACACACCACAGAACGCTACCAAACAAGCAAACAAACGAAAACCCCACACACCACAAAATAACCCCTTTCTTACAAACTGCAGATCAGAAAAGAAGTAAAGCCTGCCATTGCAAGCAAGGTGGCAGTTTGTTGAACTGGAGTATGGCAATGGAAGCAGTTATTCTTCCCCTCCCAGGCCATAAGATACCAGCATTGAGAAAGATGACTACAGGCTGCAACAAAATCCTAAATAAAGTTCCCATGGAAAATTCACATGTAGTATTCCCCTGTAACACTTACCCTGATTCTCAAGAGAATGTTCTCAGATTAACAGACTGGTATATATCTGAATGATGATTATGGAGATTCCATAATCCCCTCTCAGTCATCTTTTCCAAGAGGTGGGGCAGTAACAACAGCAAGAAACAAGCAAGAAAACCAGCACAGACTACAGCCAAGTCAGGAGTCACAACCAACATACTTTCAACAAAAATGTGAAACTTTCCTTTAAATGTCCTTTTACATCAGACAAACCAGAATGTCACACATAGCTTTCAAACAAATAATTTTCTCAGTTACTAGGTAAGTGAGACTTATTTTCAATAAAAAGCAAACAAAAATTGAGTCAATATGTGGACACTGATAAACTCCAGAATTGCATAAATCTTCACATAGCCATCGGTGTAACTGGCTGAAGAGCATCAAACTGATTTGTCTTCTGTCAGTCAATGCATATACAGAGCAGGAAAACACCTTTTTTCTTAGAAGTTTGTTTCAAGGAAGTTTTATTACACATGATTGTTAGTATGGTTAAACCTCCAAAAAATGAATGGTTGCATTTGATGCTCTCTCTCTTCCCAACAGAAAAAAAAAGAACTTGATGGGCTCAGTTCATCTTGTAATTCCTCTTTCCTTAGAGCCTTGCTGCCCAGAGGCTGTCCTGCTTCAGCTTGAAATATATTGAAGCAGATCGATTTCTCAGGTATAAGATTTCCCCCTCTGCCCCCACTTTGGATCCCACCTACCTCACCACTCCTGAAAACTCATAGCTAACTACAGAGACAAGTTTCAGATTATTTTGGGCAAATAAATCTACAGCATTTTAAGGATTAAAACATTCAAAATCAGATAGTGTGGTGAGCAAGGGAGATTCAGAAACAAAAAACTTCAACCATACCATGTTCCTCAACATGCTCAATGCACAGCTTCACGAACTTTGGCACCGTGCTGTTTTCTCTTTGACACAAGCTGGTGAGATTGGAACCAAAAACTTGATCTGGAACCAAGTAAAGAGACTGATTTACAGTGGAACAGGACTCAAGTGACAGAACTAGTTCAGGTTAAAACAAACCTCTACAAAGGGCAAAGGCTACTGGATACAATTGTTGCACTATTAGAAAGAAAATAAAGTTGTGAAAAGAGCTCTCAGCAGCTCCAAGCAAGAAAGAGCACCAGCAGTTACACAAATGTAAGGAAATTTTGCTACTGAAATAATTCTAATCCATCAGGAGATGCTGATAGAGTCATACAGCCATTACTGCAATGATAAATTTAATTAATTCAAATGTTCTGTGGCACTCCATTCCTGTTCCCAGTTCAAAATACATTTACTGTAATTTTTGTTAAAAATCTAAACAGAGATAAACTTTAACCCAAATTGAAAGCTTTCAGCAGTGCTTGAGGAAAAACAGTAAAATTTCATCTTTCATTGCACCTACTGTTTAATCCAGCATTACATATTAACTTACTTTAGCCTTTAACTTCTAACATTTTTAAGTTCTGACATGGATAGGTAGATGACAGATGTTTACATCACAGAGCTCTGAATGGATGCGAGTATGACTATGCATAGGCAATCTGGCTGCAAGGTTGGAACCTAAATACAGAGATTTATGGGCAGAGGTCATTTTGAGTCTTGTTTTTACACAGTCCAGGGAGAGTTTTTCTGTCACAAACTGGAGCAAAAATGAGAAACGGCTTGGGCAGAGAACAGATTTTTGCTGTTTCTCGCTGTATTTCAGCAACATGTTAACTTCTCTTGTTCAGATTATATTATCATCAAAATCTCTCAGACTTATTTTTATGGTTTTCATCACAGACGCCCAAATAATAGACAGCCTCCCCTGTTCACATGCATGAGACGGAAACAGGGGCTTGAGACAGAGAAGCAAAGCTAACATTCTTACAGGGAATGAAGTTTTTTGTTTTGTTTTCAATCTGTTAAATAAAAGGTATGTAAGTGGCAGTCTTTGCAGTATCTAGGAGATCTGGCTTCAGAATTTACACAAGAGAGAAACTGCTCTTGCATTTGCATCATGCACAGTATTTAGCCCACTTTTCATGTTTAGAAATTTAAGTGGATTCATTAACAACACTACTGCTTTAGGAAATCCAAACAGCACACCAGACCAATTATACAGTACAAAAACTGGCATATAATGATATTATTAGCTGTACATGTGTAAGGCTGGTGACCCAAAACATCTCAGTCCTGCTGCTGCTACCCTCGCAGCCAGCTGTATAAGCAGAAGCAGTAGCAGGGGACTAAAAAGCCTCACGCAGCAGGAAGCCAGGTCAACATGCAGCTGTAGCAGGTAAAGCAATGCAGATCAGGCAGCACAAGAAAATAAAAGCAGCTAACAAACTCATTTTCTGCAATTGCCTCTGTCTTTAAGAATATCTGCATATACAGGAATCATATTTATAACTCTGACCTTAAAGTAATTTTTGTAATTTTTTTTTTTCCACGTAACAAAACTTTAGCACAGTTACTTCTCTGCTTAGTGCATGCTATTTCTAGTGTTTTGGGCTTTTTTTCTATAACTTTCATTATTTTTCTGCTTATACTGGGTTTGCCAAGATTTCAGTTTACTAAGCTTGTTCTGTAGCAGTCACAACAGTACACTGAGCTTTTAAAGACTTACGTATTTTTCATTCATACAGTAAATGTAAAAATGTACAGCACAGATCCAACTTTTAGAATTTACACCAGACTTTTAAATAAAAAACAAACTCTTCATTCCTTAACATCTTTATTAAAAATCCAATCATTAGCATGCATGTGTACAAAAACTTGGCTTAGCATTCACTGTTGCTTAATGTCAAAATTACGTCATTGAGCCATGATAAGAATGCTAAGCTGTAAAGCAGAGCAAAACGTCAAAGTCTGGGAATAATGCCTCCTTATCCCAGGCAAAAAAATCCATAATTTACAGTTATATTTGCAGATACACAAATATATCAAATGCCACATGCACCAGAAGCACACCTGTTAACATATGTAGTTAGGCAAATCACAGTAGGGTTTGGGCTGGCATTTGCCTACCCATATGCTATTTTGACCCATTAGAGCACCACCTACAAGTCCTGCTAAAGCATACAAATATATAAATGAAGTTTTACAATGAGCACCAAGTCAATAATCATACAAACACATTAACTGAAAACTGTGCAAATACTGTTCTCTCAAAGTTCCAACAAGTGTGAGAAATGGAGATAAATTCTTTCATACATTTGATTCAAGAATATATGTAAGATTTGTTGTGAAACAAAAAATGTATACATTCAAAAAAGGTCAGGGGATAAAAAAGTGTTTAAGATTCCTTTAGCCTCATCCTGGTTTGGCTAAATATTCCATTTCTTAAGAGATGGCACGTGATTGTCTGGTTCCACTTGGACTAAAACACCCTTGTGAAACTGAAGAGCACGTGCATTCAGCTCTGCACCCAGAGGACTTTTCTTTCCCTTGTAGGTGCAAATGCTTACCGGCTGTCTGAGGCTTCCAGCTCTGAACAGCAGAACAAGTGGACTCTCTAGCTAAGAAGCACTCCAAGCCCAAACAGTCTCCTGGGCCCGCAGTTTTCATTGCAGTTTTGCAAGTAATGAGCTGAAGGAGAGGACATCCTCCACAAAGTTTAGTGGCTAGCAGCAGTGCTCAGAGCAATGACAATCAATCAGCAGTTCCACTAGACATCCAAGGCTTTCGTTAAGCCAGCTGTATAGGTGTGTTTTACTCTAAACCATTCTAACCCTGTTTTACACATGAACTACTCAAGTCAGCTTTTCAAAGGAGTCCTGTTGTTAAAAAGGTTCATTTACCCTTAATGTAGCCTTTTTCACGGACAGCCTGTAGCGTAGGGCGCCGGGTAAGAAACTTCTTGAGCTTCGTTTTGGTCTTCTTCTGATCTGTGGAATCTATATTGCTAGGTGCTTTCATTGCTGACAAGAGAAATGCAATTAGCATGAATATCTACAGAACCAACACTGCATTTATCTGCCAATGAACGAACATTAAAAAACCACATTAAGCTCAAAAAAAACCAACAAAACTACACAACAAAAAACAACACAACACCACCACTATTCAAATTTGCAATGCCCCCACATTTTTTTTCTTTAACTTTTTGGAACTCCTTGTATATAGCATTCATTTTTCAAACTACTAACAGACAACCCAGTCACATAAAACCAAGCGCTGCCTGTGAAACTAAATGGTAGCTTACATATGAAATTGATGTGGAATTTAAAAAAAATATAGCTATGTTTCAAAATCAGTCCTGCATTTCATTAAACTAACAATTTTGAAAGACAAATACTTTCTTAAAATTCCATGTAAGGCTCAGAAGAAAGAAAATAGTCAGCCTGATTAATACAGTTCTGTGCATAGGAAGAAATTTCTGCAGCTAGAAGAAATTTAGCTCTAAAAATCTGAAGGTGTAATTTAAAATGTTTAGTTTCTCTAAATGAGCCAATATAGCATCATTCACAACTTAGTGAAATTGCAGTTTAAGTTAACAATGCAAATGTTCACGGATGTTGTATCACAGACAAAACCCAAGTAAAACAATTCTAATAAGTTTCAAACATGTAAAAGGACTAAAGAATTCTTATTCAAAACCAATTATAAAAGCCAGAAAAAGTAAACATCTCATTACTTCTGTGCATTTGACACCACCTTGAAGACAATCCATTTCACCTCTGCCTATTCTCTCCTATTTTTCATGTGTCACCATACAGCACAAGCTAAAGACATTTGGTACTTCCCCCCTCCCCTTTTTTTTTTTTTTTTTTTTAAAGTATGATTAATAAAACACAAAAGAAAATCTACTAATTGGCACCAAAATGTAGAATGAACTATATAAAAGCCTGTTGCCAAACTTGACTAGTTTCATTTCTTATAGCTGTCCTTCTGAACTCTACACATAATACCGAAGAAGCAAAAATAAAAATAGGCATTACTAAAATCAATTAGTGGAAAATTTTCAACTCACAACGAAGTTTCTTAGAGTCTTTATTCTCTTTGTCTTTTTCTTTGTCTTGCTTTTCCACTCCAGGGGAATCTGGAACTTCATCTTCTAATGCTTCATCAGACTCTACTACCTATTAGATTTAAGAAGACATACAAAGATCAGTTTGACAATTCCTAAAATAAAGTATTAACAAACACATTTGCTGTAGACAATTCTGCAATATACATTTTTTCCCTATACAGATACTCAGTTGGCTCCTTCCTGAACTCTAGATGTTCAAAATATCTTCAGAGATGATACTATTTTCATTGGCAGAGTGAATAACTTTGAGAAACACTATTTGATCATAAGACCCAATAAAAAAAAGTTTTGCTGGACATTGAACAAAGTACAACCAGTCTTTCATAACACTTCATTACATCAAGAAAACAACAGATTTTTTTTTTTTTTTTTTCCCCTGTGAAGTGGAAATGTGGATCAGGCTGTAGTGCAGAGGCAGGTATCAGAGTCTGTTAAACTGCCCATCTGCAGCCTCACACCTATATACTGCACGCAGGACAGCAGACAATAGAAAATTTCTCTTGTCTCAGAGCAATATGCTCCCTTCCACAACCACATATTTCTAACTTCATTTATACTAAAGTGGATGCAGCTACAAAAACCTGACGGTACAGTATCTTTTGTGACAAGGAAGGTCATTTTAGAAATAAGGCAATGTTGCGTACTTCTGGGCAACTCTGTGCTGGGAAAGATTCACAACTACTCCTACCATAAAGTTCCCAAAATTAAAAGTTTGTTTCAGATCTGATGGATTTTTGTACCCAAAACCTCAGTGCTCCAAATTATCAGGTACTCTAATAATGTACTTTTTGAACTTTTCCCTTATAATCTTAGGTCCTTTGGCTATCAGCTCCCCATGGTGATACATCACCATTTCCTCTACAGTGCTGATAAAACTCTCCCTGTTCCACCATTCACTTCCGTAATTTAACTTGTTACTCTGTGAGGTGAGAGCAAGGTGCATTTCAGCCTTTCCATCTTCATTCATATTTCAGTAGGGGAGAAGTGGCCTCAGTTGCATTACACGGGGCAGACAGGGGAAGGAGTCAATCACTGAGTGACTGCCTGCCTGGTTATTAAGGGTCATTTTCATACTAGGAGAGAGAACAGGTTAGGAGCCTAAACCATGAGCACTCACAAAGAAACCAAACTGTTCGTAATAGCCCGTTTGGTTTAGGTGGAAAATATCCATATAGGGAAAACACTATCAGAGCTAAGATAAAGGAAGACTACTGACTGACACCAGAAACAACTTAAATGAAGCTTATGGGCAGCAGCCAGGCACGTAACTACAAAAATTAAGAATACATATGAAGTCAACATAGTATGAGAAGAATATTTTCTCCAAAATCTCCTCCAACTTCTTCTGAACTCAAACACAGTAACTCTTGTTTGGCAATATCAAGCGCAAGTACTTGATGACTCTTCCATTAATTAAATAGTTGGCATTACGCTGTCTGATAAGAAGAGATACTACAGTATTTTGCCAGGGCTTTTAATTTGCACTTTAGTGCAGCATTATTAAGTGAATAGCAGCATCAGATGCTGATTAGTGTAGGCCATGAAGCACTCCTTTGGGCATTCTCCCCCCACTTAACTCCCTTTCTATCGGTCACTGAGACAGAACAACTATTTGGCTACAGAAGGAAGCACAGTTCTGAGCTGTAGGTCAGACTACGTTTCTTAGTTCTTAACAGTTCTTAATCCAGTGGATCACCCGTCCTCCTTTGCCACTATAAATACTTCACTTATCACCACCAGGAACTGCTGCATCTTCAATCTCCTGCCCACACTCAAGAAAATCAGGAAATGAAGATGTACGTGAAACTCTAGAGAGTCATTACATCAGTTTTTTTACTAAATAACTTCATCGTGAAAATAGAGCCTTCATGATTCAAGCACATACCTGATTGTTGATGGTATAGTTAAGAACTTTATACCATTCATTAATAAAGCTGTCATTATCAGACTGAATTAAGAGCTCAGTTCCTTGACGGGTCTTCAGCTTTAAAGGAATAAAAACATGTATCATCAGAATTGATAAACACACCAGAATTCAAAAGTGAAATTATCTAAAACAAAGTAAACTTCTCCCTGGCATAATTTTCAAATAATATATAGCCACTCAAGAACACTTACCAGTGAAAACAGTAAATAGCAGTCTGCTTAAAATACAAAGGCATATCCCATACAGACATATTAAAAATAGACATTTCTTGCAGGTACTAAGAAATGTCTACATTTGGGCAGGAAGAAATGTAGAAAACTCAATTAAGTTTTTGATTTTAAGTTCAGAAAAAATTTAAGTCATTAAAGTACATATAATCCTGCAATTAGGTAAAATAATTCACCTCAATAACATTCTTCTTGCTGGATTTGTCCTTTGAGGCCCAGTCAATCAATGCCCCTTTGAGATCCACTGTAAATTCTGGCTTAGACTGATTGACACCAAACTTCTGGAAAAAAAAAAGAACAACGGTGACAAACTTAAAACCAAAGAAACTCCTAACACGTCCAGAGTCTTGCAATCCTCTAAATATACCATACATTATTCAGTCTATGCTACTTAACCCAACTACAATACTCTGACAAAAAACAGGTATAATACCAGAAAAACAAAAACCACACACAAAACACCCTTGAAGCAAGCCTATTAGAAGCTGCTCAGCCTTAAGTCCTTAAAATTCCACAACTCTGAATGCCAACCAGATTCCATCAGAGCTTTTTTCCCCCTGTAACAACTGGTAGGAACCTATACAGCATCTGACTGTAGATTGATTTTAGTCAAGACAGTGCTAAGGTCTAAATAAAATTGTCTAATAAGTAACAGAACAACATAGCATTCTGTCAGTTAGTCAGTGCTGGTGTATAAAACCAAAAATCAAACCAGAAATAGTAGCTTTGATAGCGAGGAATCACATCCCTCCTGCACTGAAAGAGCACTTTCACTTTTTACATTTTCTTAATATGCATTTATTTTGTGTGTATATGTCCAACAATGCTTTTGACTTTTGTATTTTTCTACAGTGTTTCTATTGCAGTATCAATATAACATATCCTAGCAAGTAAACAGAACTCAGTTTCACTACGTAGCTACCAAACAAGCAGCAAATAACTGAAGTGATTAAAAAAAAAAAAAATTAACCCATAAGTAACCCCTCTAACAATTTGGGGGAAACATCAGAGAGGTATTTTTACCTACTACTTTTACATCTATACTAGGTATTGCAATTGTTTTTAAATAAAGTACTTTTACTAGGGTTTCAACCTACCCATCACTTTGAAATATCATTCTTCAAGGAAACCAATTCCGTGCCTCACACAGATAAAAAGCTCAAATTGTGACTAAAACAAGTAAAACACTAAACAGAGAAAACTGTAAGTCATTTGTTTGTAGCAGAGAAATTTACTGCTGTAGTTAGAGGGGAAGCTTGTAGCATCCAATCCATCAGGAAGGTTCTTTTCCATTTCTTTAAAAAGTCTTTGATGTGTGAACGCTGTTTGTGTGACAGCTCTGGGGGATGCAAGCCCCAGGACAAGCTCCTTGCTGTGAACACAAGTTTCTAGCCTGTATATCCAGCTATATCCAGAGGTAGAGAAAACGGTTCAAAAAAAACAACTAATTTGCTGCTTTTGATTAAATTCCCAGCATGGATGTTAATTAGTGCTAATTGTGGTTTAGAAAGTCTGTTTACCACTGGAAAATCTCCCCGCCTTGAGTCCTAAGGGCAATTAAATGTTGAATGGAAAGTGGCATAACTTCTTTATTTTACCCATGAAATATCAGAGTGGGGGAATATTTCTAATTTACCCAATGCCAACTAGCACTTGAAAAAGACAAATAAACTTCCACTTTCTAAATTAATTCTCAGATACCTCATCCAAGAATATTTCTTATTAATTATAGTGGAGCTTTTGAGAGGCCCAGCTCAGCAGTGGAGTCCATTGGAGCAGGAACCATCTCTGGGCCATTATGGCTCTTGCAGCTGTGGGCAGCTATGCAGCAGCTGCCTGTTTAAGAGAAACTTCCTTCATTACTTCACAAACAACCAAAATGCCCCAACCACACGCTTTCTGCAGCAAGATTGATCCAGGTTGTCACGTTGGAAAAAGAAATTATCAATTTATAGAATTTGGCACTGTAGACAGCAGACTAGTGCCAAAGTTCTCTGCAGAATCAAGTTGGAACTCATTCTACAAACTGCCCAGATGCTGCTGCAAAGCACAGGAGATGATCTGCTACAGGTGAAATCAAACAGTAACAAAAAAATGTAACCATCACCGCTCCTTTGTCCAAAAGGAAAGACCTCTAATACATTAGCTTGCTGAACTCCCACCTGACAGATCCCAGTACTACCTCAAACACCTTTGCACTCTGTCCATCTTTTCAGCCCAACTCCCTTCACCTCTTCAGAGAGGTGCAGAATAAGCCAAAAACTAGGAGATAAAACTTCTCAGAGGGGAAGCCTTTCCCCACTCCTTCACACAAGCGGTGCCCAGACTCCCGTGTGAGATCCAAGGATGAGCAACCCCATACCAATAACACAGCCTCTCCTCAGAGTTCCTCTAACACACCAATATACTCATCACTAACTTAATTTATTTATTCACGGAAATTAAGTTTCGCATGCAGGCTGTCCTGTGGGATTTCCTGTCAAGGTTCTTTTCTGTTTCTGGGTGTATGAAAAGAAGATGCCAGCAGCCATTTCCCTCCTCAAAAACTTCCAGGAACAAGTCCTTTATAGTGCAGCTCCAGTGTTCTGCATACAAAGGTCAGCTAAAGGCAATCAAACCCTCCTGAAGCAAGACGGTTTTGTTGAGAGCAGTAACAAGAAAACCCTTCCCTTTTAGCATCTGCTGCCACCTTCTCAAAACAGTGCTACCAAGTCAGCACTAGTCCAGATAAATTCAGCTCTTACTGGGCAGACACCTTATTCTTACTGGATTTTTCTTTTGAGCTGTGTGGGTTGGTTTTGGTTTTTTACATTTTATTTTTGTTTTAGACACAGTAGATGCTGTGTAGCTTAAGAATGGCCTTGAAGATTTTTGGTGACATCAGTTTACAGAAAGCCTTTTCCATCTTACCGGGAGTTCTCTCCAAGTCCTGGAAGCCTCCACAGAAAAGTCGCATAGCCTGTATTGTGATATATTCCAGTACTCTTTGGAAACAGAACTGAATGTGATTTACAGGAAGACTTGGGATGTATAAATGGCACCTGCCATTCTTGTAATTCTATTTCTAATTAGAGTTGGGTAAACCATTTTAATTCCAAGTTCTCCTCACCCAAGGATAAACTGCAGAAATAATTCTGAGGAGACATACGTTCCTTTGTGGCTGGAAGTAGAGCTTACAGAACTTACAGCTTTAACATAAAAAGACAGATATATTCTTTATTGTCATAGCAAAATGATGGAGTTTTTTTGAAATCAGACTCCAATAGGCATATTTGCATTCCAAATAATTTTCATATTTCATCGGAGCTCTCACATAAGCAGCTACTGATGAACTGTGGTTACCCACATATAACATCCTTGGCTATTAGCACAGTGGCATGACAGAGTAAACAAAAGTTTTCCCAGATGAACCTTGAAGAGCATTTATTTCCTTAATGTTTGAGAAATTTACTCATATTTGGTTTACCACCACTGTACTGGACACTGAGGACTTATGCCTATTACACAAGGTTGACAAATGAATCCTTCTAAGGAGTTACTATTTGCTGTGTTTTATGAAGCCCCATCACTAAAATTCAGCAAGAGCTATTACAACTCATTCACACCACAAGTTGAGACATCTTCTTTCAACAGTAGAAAATTTAAATTTCTATGAAATTACATATTAAAAAAAATCCAGATTTCCTAATAGAAAATAGTATTTTAAAGTATACCACACGGTGTACAAATTATCTGTTCCAGGTGTCCACATACGTAGCAATAAATTCAACAGACAAAGAGAAGGCAGTTGCATGATTTTTAGCAGACAGTTAATTGAATAAGCCTGCAGTTACTCCTTCCTACAGGGGGAAAAATATAAACTAAGGTACCGGTCATCAAAACAGTCTTTATAGAAGTCTTGAGAAACTTAACTAAATTCAAAACATGTAGCTCTCTCTCTCTCCACTCCAGGAGGTATAAGCCAAGATACCAAAATAGTTTTAAGTATCACCAACATTTTTAAATCCCCTGGTCAAATTATTTAAATATTGTTTTTAATGTCTCCAGCACATGATTTTTTCCCATGAAAGCCTTAGTTTGATTCCGGTAAGAGTGCTGAGAAAGCAGTATTAAAAACCAATTATACAACCAGTCAAGCCTGTTTGTTTCTTCAAGCACTAGTATCATTATTTAAATTCCTCCTCATCTACCTCAAGCAACAAGCTACCATATTAGCTACCAACATTTTATCAGTTTCTGATAAGCAGCACTTCCATGCTTGGCATCTACACTTCAAAATATGACCAACTACAATGCTTAAATTAAAAAGTCCTACAAATTTACATCTGCTTCTGTATGTAGCACATAGCCACAACATCCCTGAGTTCCTTTCCTTTCAGCCCTTTATGCATAACATTTACATTTTTGGGTATCCCAGTTATAACTAGAATTAACAAACATGTACATCATTGTATCAAAGGCATCATAGACACCTTAGAAACACCCTAAATTAGTTGTGTTAGAAAGAATTAGATATAAAATAGCTATTAAAAACCTGACCATATCATGCTGTTTATTAGTCAAGACACTAGTGGTTCAAAGAGTAGGCAAATTTAGGCTTGTAATCTGGCACTGAAGAACCAGATACTCTTTCTACTTTGTTCCATTAGAACAACTACAAGATTACTGCAATACACTTGTGTTAATCTGCATCTTGGAAGACTCAGAGTAAACAGGACACACAAGGTGTTATATGAAGTGACAGAAGTTAAATCTTGGAAATTCAAAATTACTTTCAAGGTTAGTGGCAAATAGCCTTGCAGTGACAAGAGGCATGCAACAAGAACACATACAGTGATAGCTGAAACTTGGTCACAGTTTACATAGGTGACAGCAGGTCGACGACCGACAGCATTTTTCCAAGAAGAAAGCAGCGAGAGCAGGAGCTCAGGAATTGAGCCCCCTGGGCAAAACGACTTGATGAGAAAAAGGAAGAAAAGTGATGAATTCACAAAAGAATGCACAAAAATAAAAAAAGGTTATATCAATCACTGGACGAATTCTAAACATATATTCTCCTCATAAGATGAGGAAGAAATGTAATTCTTATCATATGTCAAACTGTTAAACTTGACTTCACCTTATTAAAATACTGACACAGATCAAAGTTTGAGAGGTGGCGTGGAATTTTTAACAACTCAACAAAAAATTTCCTACACAGAGCAAGAAGTGTGCACTGAATATTTAATTACGTATTTACAAAGTCAAGGGCAAGCATGAAGTTTGTGTATGAACACAAAATTCTTGAAAGAGATTCTCCCTTCATACTTCCAGCTTCACTTTATTCTGTTCATACTGTTGATTTTTATTTCTGCTGA